ATCACCAAGCGCAGTGCCAAGCATCGGATGGAGTGGAGTAAAGCACACTGCCACTGGACACTGCAGTGGAATAGTGTTCTGTGGAGGGATGAATCACACTTATCTGTCTAGCAGTCTGATAGAGGAATCTGGGTTTCGTGGATGTCACAATAATGTTACCTGCTTGAGTGCATTGTGTCAACTGTAAAGTTTGGTGGAGGAGGGATAATGGTATGGGGGTGTTTGTCAGGGGTTGGGATTGGCACCTTGTGAAGGGAACTCTTAATGCTTCAGCATTTCATGACATTTTGGACAATTTTATGCTTCAATCTTTGTGGGAACAGTTTGGGGAAGGTCCTTTTCTGTTCCAGCATGACTGTGCCCCAGTGCACAAAGCAAGGTCCCTAAATACATGGTTGGGTGAGTTTGACGTGGAAGAACTTGACTGGCCCGCACAGAGCCCTGACCTCAACCCCATCGAACACCATTGGGATGAACCAGAACGGAGATTGCGAGCCAGACCTTCACATCCAGCATCAGTGCCTGACCTGACAAACTCCAAAGTCTTGTGGAGACCCTTAACAGAAGAGTGGCAGCTGTTATAGCTGCAAAGGGAGGTCCAACATATTGATGCCTATGGATTTAGAATGGAATGTCATAAAAGTTCCCGTGGGAGGTATGTATTTTATCCATATGGTGTATATTACATTGTCTATAATTATAATGAAAAGTGATGCTATGTTATATGTTACATAGAATATTATTATATTACATTTTCTAGAATAACAATGGAGAGAGATTCGTTGCTATATGTTGCATTACATTCTTCATAATAACAGTGAGAAGAGACTCCACACTGTATGTGACATATATGTTCTTATTACAGATTTTGCTTTCTCCAAAGGGATTTTATGCAATGCATAACTTTCCATTAGATAAATTAATGTGATGTGTTTTTTTTTCTATGAACCATCTAGGAAAACAGTAAATTATTTTCCTTAAGACACCAGATACTTCTTCAGTCTTCCATTTATCCATTTATGTCAAATGGAAATGGTTGTACTTGTGCTTGTTATTGTCTTAGTGAATCACATGAATAAAATTAAATTTATGATCTGTTTTAATTCGCTCGGCTCTAGATGAGTATCGTCTGAGTCTCTCCCCAATGCTGTGGGTTATGCTAGTGTGCTCAAATAAATACCATCCCCCCCCCCCCCATACATCTGCATATGACCCTTGAAAAGGTCAAACAACACATGCAGGGTCACATCCCAGGATATTGAAATAAATTCTTTCATGCTCAATATCGCCTTTCTTTCTTTCTCTCTCTCTTTCTTTCTTTCTTTCGATTACATTTATTTCTTTAACCATCACTCCATACACACGCCAGCGCTTTATGGGTGCAGACCGCAGACCGCAGACCGCAGACCAAGGACAGCAAACTGCGCTCAACCATCTTCTCTCAGTAAACCATCACTGCGTCATTTCCCTGCTTGCACGACTTCCAGGCTGCCGGGATGTTCTGACACACGTACCGTGTCTATGCCTGCATTGACAGGCATGGAAGTTGCAGACTGCAGACGAAGGTGGAAGGAATAACTTCCAAATACATAAATGTGGGTACAGACACATTGACTGCCAGTCCCAGAGGTGTGTCATGTGACCTTAAGGATTTTCATCGTTTTTTGCTTTCTGTTCCTCAGAGGATCCCTGTGGTACCACATTATGCATGTATACATATCCAAGCATCCCTCCATCTTCTAACTGGTTATGCAGCACGGGGCCACCAGGGGGCCGGGAGCCTGTCCCAGGAACGCATTTGTGCACAGAATACATAACCTGATGGTCAACCCAGGCCTCAACCCTATCCCTTCCCAAACCCTCCATCCATTGGCCTATTTCATTGCTTTTCATTTCTCTGTCTGCTTTTTGTTTCGAACCCCCTTCAGCCATAGGATCCATATTTCATCAAAGCTGAAAGTGCCAAAGCAAGGTGATGCCTGGTCTGCAGGCCCAGAACCTTTAGCCACGCCCCAGGTGTCATCATCGCACCCTTGAGAAAGGCTGGTAAGTCTCTGCTTCTCCAGAGACACTGACCCTCCCCTCTTCTGAGTCGCTTTGGGCAATAGCATCTGCTAAATAACCATACGGTAATGTCCTTATCTGTATTTTCATTAAAACCCTTCCCACTGTCCCAGCATGGACCCCACGCTTTTAGGTGAATGATTGTTATACCTGCAGGCAGAGTTTCTAGCAGGATTCACTGTAGCACTCCACCGACCCTGTCCTGCCCCATTAAAACCAGCGGTGGGATGGGATATTCGTCATCTGGTCTCGCTTTCAACCAGCAGGGTTTGCGCCTAACAGATGTGGCTGGGAGTCTTAAGAGGCGTTTCACTCCGCGTCTCTCTAAATGAGCCGCCAGCGGTAGCCATTTGTCAGCGGCCGCAGGTTAAGCATCGCTCAGTGTAACAGTCTCTGATTCTGCGCTGGGTTTGGTTATATACTGACACATGCGAGGGAACCAGACCAAACAGAATTCGAAGCATCCTTTGAGCTAGAGGTAGGTTTATAGGGGCAATCCGTTACTGTCTGAAATGTCTCTTCCACCTCTTTAGTCGTGGACACGCCTGTCAGGTCTTGTCTTTCCAGATGACAGATGGGGGTGGGGGTTGGAGAGGGATTGACCAATGGGTGCTGATGGGAAGTTTGGCCTGCATCCTATGGGGGCCGGAGCACCTCGGAGGTGCCATCTCACAAAAGCAATCAAGAGCCAATGCCCTTGTGCCAGGGTTTGTATGGACGCCCTACTGGCCCATGTGGGGGAGGTCAAGATATAAAGGGCTTTCGTAAAAGGAGGACCCCTTCTCTCCATGCTGGTCCACAGGAAGGCATCGGTTTGACCATTCGCCTCCTTGCAGCCCATTTGACCACCACCCGCATGGCATCGCTTCCTGGTCACACAGCATTCAGTGGAGCCCATCTGCTCGACGTCCACGCGGAATTCCACTCCGAGGCCCTCGCGCTCCGCCCATTCCCCAGCCCTTTGACGGCAAACTCCATCACCCTGCTGACTTTGCGCCCCCCCACCTCACCAGGCCATCTGAGACGGCCGCGGGTCACTGCTCTTTTGTCACAGATTAGTGTGATGGACGCGCCATTAGCGGCTGCTGAGACTGGAGCGGGGCTTAGCGCCGAGACGCGCCAACGAGGACGAAGGACGACATGCCCGCATGTGATGGACGGGTCACTCATCTGAGATGATTCATTACCCAGGAGCCAATATGACTCAACAAAGCTGACCAGTCTTTTATCAAAGGATTACTTTATATAACACTAAAGAAATGTATCAAATACAAATAGTTACATTGTATCTGTTGATGTATTTTGCATACTAATTAAATAATTAACATGGTAGCTGAGCAGGTAACACTGATGCATCACACCTCCAGGGTTGGGGGCCTGACTCCCCCCGCCCTGAGTGCGGAGTTTGCACCCTCCCCTGTTTTAGGGTTAGTTTCTCTGAGTCCCCCAGCTTCCTCCCAGTCCAAAGACATGTGATTCTTTAGTGCATCTCTAAAATTGTCCACAGTGTGTGTGTGCACACATGTGTGTGTGGGTGTGTGTGTGTATGCACGCATGTGTGTGTGTGTGTGTGTACGCATGTGTGTGTGCTTTGTTATGGCTGGGGATAGACTGCATAATGATAAAGATACTTACTTTGTAAACACATAGGAAGTAATTTCATTTCCTCCCAGCATATGACATCTTGCTCTCCTGAGAGAAGCCTATACATATGAAACAATGTTTTATTTGCACAAACACACTGGAATTTCCACAGATCCCATCTTCTCTCCTTTCTCTCCTTTCTCTCCTTCTGTCCTCTGCATTCATATCTTTGTGGGGACTCGTCATTCATTTCTAATGGGAAAAGCCTAATCCCAGCATGATGACCTTAATCCCTACCCAGCCCTAACCTTAACTATAAGTAACCAAAGAATTTGTAGTTTTTTTTGGTTTTTTTTTATTGCAGTCACAGATTTTCATAAAATTGAATTTCCCATTGTGGGCACCAAAAAAATGGTCCCCACAACGTCAAAGTTTTTTATCACTTTGTGGGGACATTCGGTCCTAAGAATGTGATGTATATCTGAACCACACAAACACACACACATACAAGTTTGCAATTATACCTTTGTGGGAACTCTCCATTCAAGGTCCCCACAATATCAAAATAACAGGTTTTTAGTACATTGTGGGGGACATTGGTCCTCACAATGTAATATAAACAAAATCCACACACACACACGCAAGAAAAGGCTTGGGGGTCACAGTGCAGGGTCAGCCATTTATCCAGCACATTTATCCTGGAGCATTTCAGGGTGGAGGGTGGGGGGTAAAGGGTCTTGCTCAAGGGCCCAGTGGATGAGTGATTATTCTGCCGTGGACATTATTCAAACCAGTTACCTTCCAATTACAAGCACAGAGGCCTGACCAGCTGAGCCACGCACTGGCCCTCTAAATACCAGGGGAGAGCATCAGTGCCCCCCCCATCAGGAGACAGTTAGATATGCTGGGCCCATGTCAAAATGTCCCCATGGTATAATTTATCATGCAGATGGTTTCCTGAATATACTCATCATTTATTCATTCATTCGTTTTTCTTTCGTTTGTTTGTTTGTTTTCGAGTTCAAGGGCCTCTATCCTCTATAATGTCCTGGGCCCCCCGACTCTGCCAGGGTATCCATGCCCCTACTGTGGCCCCTGTAAAGTGCCGGGCCCCCTGAATCTCCCAGGGTATCCATGCCCCTACTGTGGCCCCTGTAAAGTGCCGGGCCCCCTGAATCCGCCAGGATATCCATGCCCCTACTGTGGCCCCTGTAAAGTGCCGGGCCCCCTGAATCTGCCAGGGTATCCATGCCCCTACTGTGGCCCCTGTAAAGTGCTGGGCCCCCTGAATCTGCCAGGGTATCCATGCCCCTACTGTGGCCCCTGTAAAGTGCTGGGCCCCCTGAATCTGCCAGGGTATCCAGGCCCCTCTGACACCCTTGCCCCCAGTACCAGAAATTATGCAGTCGAGATTCCCACATTTAGGGGAATTGCATGGCTCAGCATGGCCACAGTGCATTGGCTGACTGTCTCCTTGGTTGAGGCACCTTGGTCACCATGCTATCTCCTCTGCCAGTAAGCAGATGTACAGTATACAGGGGAGCTTGTGCTGCTTTTGCTCACAGCGCAGTCTCAGCCATTTTTCAGGCGTCCCTGGAGAAACAGCTCAAATATGCCCAGTTACCAGTCCTCACATTACTCATTGCCCTAATTAATGTATCTACTGTCTTCTGGCATGTCTTGGTGCTTACAGCAGTTCATTTTGAAAGATGTTTTGTGATTACTTTATGATTCTCAAATTTTATCGGTAACTGATCTTGCTAAAGTTTTATCTCACCTTCTCCACCTCCCAGGGACAGTTAATGAACATTAGCATTTTTTTGTAACCAATCCCGTGAATTCATAGTAAAATGTCGTTTTCCCTGCATTTAACCTCCATTTTTAATATATCAAGTTGATTCGTTTAAAGACTACTGAAATTTCCCACTGGAAATCAGCTTCATACTAATATGAAAATGTAAATGCTCCGGAAGGCAGTTCCGTATTTAAAAACTCCAGATTCCTGAGGCCATCAGTAGCGCAGAATCTTAAATAAGATTTCAAAGTGTAAAAAAACGCCACTGGCAACTTTGAAGTAAACAGTAAAACTCAGAATTCCCCCAAAAAAAACTTAAAATAACTTTCTGCTCCAAATGAAGAATGAATTGGAGCATTTGCAACGGATGACTACTGGCAAGGTAACATGTGTTTTGCAAAAAAAAAAAAAAGTGCGTTGCTTGGAACGATCCAACCATCTGGTAAGAGTGACGAAGGACAAAATGTGGTTGTGGCGGCCTCTGCTGGTGAGATATAGAAGTACAGGCAGTGCATCCATTAAAATCATAACACTGCAACCCCCGCGACACTTATTTTGAGAAATCCCAAAAACCCGCTTTGATTGGTCTGTATCTACATGAATGGTGACCAATGTCCAGAAACACATATACATTTATGCATCTTCATGACCTACAGTGGAGGACTGAAGTAGTAATACACATTAATTTAAAAACAAACTTCCACTCATATATACTTTACAATGATCACAGCTGTAAATGTGTCAAAATTGTAATTTGTCAGTTCACCTGGGCACCAGATTTAAAAGCAAAGCTTTCAATAACAAGATTCTAAAACTTAATGTTTAAATTTGACCCTTTTTGTACATCTCTCGTCCAGTCTGCTGTCGAAATGAGGGAAGTCTCACTAGTTGATTGAAATGGCAACATTTTCATCTCGAGGTGGATCTACGGCACGTCGGTTACCATGACGACATGCTTATCAGTGTCTGCTTTCCACGATGCTGCACACGGCCTTAGATTTGGCCTCTCCCTGGTTTATGGATCGATCCTCGATTCTAGCTTCTGGAAACCGAAACGTGGGAAAGTAGGCAGAGTGGTGCTTATGATGCTGCCACATCCCTTTAGGATTAGTTTAGGTTTAGTGATGGATAAGTAAATCACTACTGAAGTACCTTAACACACAACACACTGTAACTATACCAGCTGTTGCTGCTGTACATACCTTTTTGGTCTACTGTGTTTGCCCATTTATGTGTCAATGCATGTTTTGACCACCGATGCTCTCTGCCTTCCTTCCCACATGTCCGGATAGTGCCCGAGGAGGGCAGCATCTGAGCTGGAGTCATGGTTCAGTCCCATGGAAATAATTATGACTTCATGGATGTGGCTTACAAACTGTGACATCGTCAATGCGGCCTTCTGTCTGCTGATTCACACAGGCCGACACAGAGAACTGTCGGGCGTCGGCTTTCCCCTGATCACAGTTCACACCTTCCTTTTAGCAAACTGGGCCTCTCTTGGGCAGCCAGTTGACCTCAGACCCCCAGAGGTCTTTTACTCTCAACTTTGGCTTTTTTGACTCCTCTCCCTTGTTGTCATCTGGCTTTCTTATCTTCATTCTTTGTTTCTGTCTTCCTTTATTCCCTGTTTCATGTTTTATTCTGTATAAATGATGCAGAAATGCATTACAGCACATGCCTGTCAGCACCCTGGAGTGACTGTTGTGAACTGGGTGATTTAAAAATGAATTGCACTGGGATATAGTCTGGGCTCATTCATGGAAACATTGAGATGCTCTGAAGAGAACACCATGGTCTTCCAATGCCCAGCCAACAGCGGTCTTCAAACAGAAGATGTGGGGCAGTCCTGAGAAGGTGCTTTGGCAGGGTCTCCCCCACTTGAAATAGTTTTATGTTGAGAACAGGAGAGTTTTACTCCTCGATTATTTCTAAGAACAAATTCAGTGAAATCCATCCACGCAAAATTGATCCAGAGAAACTTTTGGAGCCTTTCTTCTTCTCCAGCCTGCCAGATGCCTGCATGCTCCTCTACTGAGAACAGGAGGAAGAGAGCCATCACCGCAGGGATCATTGAGTCCAACCAGCTTGCTGTCTATGTGCAATTCCAGTTGTTTGAAGATGCCGTCCGTGAGCATTAACATCAAGACGCCCAGCGGCATGTTAGCAGTCACAAGGGGAAGCCGTCATTACAGCGCAAACATCAACTGCCATCCGCCCAATCAGCGCTCAAGGGGCTGGACGCGGTTCGACGGATGCACTGGTCCCTGGGTCTCTGTGAAACACCTGCCATGCAGTCCAATACTGCAATGACTGCGGGAACCAGCTATGAGCTTTGGCAAGTCAACCAGTCGTGAATGATGCCAGCGGACAGCGTCGCTTATTTGACCCGTTTAAAAGACTCGGGTCTTGAAGTTCAGGCATCAGCCGAGGAAGTTAATCCTGAACCTCACCATGCATGCAGTTACCTTCTGAACACTTTGGTTGTGGACTTTACAGTGGTGGACTAAAGCTCATTACTACAGCCTAATCATTACGCCGGCTAATTAACCGCGTCCTGACGTGATTGGTCACTCAGGATGCTGAGAAGCAGCAAGGAGCATGTGTGTGAGTGAGGAAGCAGAAGGTGTCCGACAGCTATAAATTAAATGTGATTTCTATCACGACTTGTCCTGAGCCTGCAGTGAATCTAGCAGGGTGCTGAAAACAAGCTAAGTCAGCCAACAGATGTGAATCCATATTGGCAAAGCACAAGCAAATAACACAACCAGTCAGATGGGGAAGATTCTTTCTCTCTCTTTCCCTCTCTTTTTCACCTCCACGCTCTGCTGCCCTCACTCACCCCTTCAATCTTCCACTCCCCGGAATCTCTTTATCTCTCTTTCTATTTCTCATTCATTATTGTTTTTAAAATTTGACTTATGGACTAAATCATCCAGCCCGTCTCTTTGTGCTCCGCTCTCCCCTTATTATTTAATCTTCTTTGGCTAAAATTGAATTTACATAATTAACACAAACTATACAACCTCCAATAACCCGTGTTAACAGGTCTGGTGCCTCATTTCAATCTATGGACCATCACATTTATTGATTTACAGCTGCAAACATCCTTCTGTTTCTGGGGGTTAGCATCTCCAGAGAGTGCTGATTATCTTCTGGAAACAAACCCCCTCCCCATTAGGATAATTAAATAGGAGGTCGTTCTCATCACTCCAAGCCAGCCCTGTGCAACGAAAGGCCTAGAAATCAGGAATCAGCAGTTGCCCTGTTTAGCAAAGGGCCGCCGTTTCCCTCTTGCCCAAAGCCATGGGTTTGGTTTGGCTTCTCAGGAGAACTTTCCCACTGATTCTGTTTCCGATTCCTCGCATTTGAGGATTTGTCAGGGTTTGACTCGATGCTTACCGTAAAAGCGTTGTAGCTGGAGGAGAAAAAAAGGAGGGAAAAAGCCAGAGAGGGTTAGTGTGAAAAGAGCAGGGAAATATACAGGGGGAGGGGCCACAGGGGCACTGGCCCCGGCTGAAAGCTGATTGGCCCCCGGAGTGCTTCGTCCCCTGTCACTCACCGATTCAAAACTTATCATTGGCTCTGCCATCCTGCCAAGAAGAAGTTGAGGACCAAAGTATCGCTTCCACATGCCCTGACAACCCTCAGTTACATACCTTGATAGCCACCCTGAAGTAAGTCCCTTGTGCAAATTAATTAAAACAAGCCATATTTTTTTTCCAGTCTGATTTTCAGTTTCATTCTAGAAAGCCAACATTATGCCTTCATTAGTCACTTTTTCAATAGACTGGGGTTACATCATTAAGGCTGGGTTGCACCTGCATGAATAAAATTAATGCTGGTTTAGACTTAATCTAGGGTTAATAAATCCAGGCTTAAACTGGTTTATAATTGATCAGAGATGTGTTGCACATCATAATTTTAACTGTAAACTATGATTAAAATAGTATTAATTTAGGTTCAGTATGGTAGTTTTTCGGGGGATTAATCATGATCAAAACTGTGCAAAACTTTTTATTAATATTTTACTTATACTCTCACTCTTACTTCCATGCATGATAGCTGGTCCAACCTCCCCACTGGGGTATATGGCACACTCTTTTGTGAATCTATACCAGCTGGGAAACTTTACTATTTCTTTAAAAATTTCAATTAGGTAGTAGATAAATCTTGATTTAATACAGTTTAAAAGTTAAACCATGTTGGTACAATTTTCATTATTGTTACTTTTCTTGATGGGTCAGGCATCTTTCAGTATGATCTAGCCCTGGGCCGTATGTTGAAATCACTGAGGAGTTTCATCAAGAAGAATAAATTCAAGGATTTAAACCCTATACACTCTAAGAAAAAATGGTAAAAATGTGTATCTTTGCTTGTCACTGCAGCTGAACCGTCAAGGAGCTGTCAATTGTACCCTTAGCTGTAGGAAAATGTAGCTTTTAAGGTACAGAAATGGACTCTGAGGAACATTTATGTACCTTAAAAGGCACAATTACAAGGAAATAGCCAAAGTGACAAGCAAAGCTAAAAATTTTTACCCTTTTTTCTGAGTGTAGAGAATCTGTGGTCAATCTGCAAGCAGCACCTTTGTGCAATGGACTGCATCACGAAAGATAAGCTTATTCAGGCGTTAATTCAAGTATGGTACTGGGACCCCAAGATCAACAAAGACTGCTCAAAATTGTTGGATTCTATGCCAAATCGCGTCCAAATGCTACTAAAAAAATG